CACTCATTGACAAACACAATAAAATCACATACATTATAGACATAGCCATTCCAAACACTCACAATGTACAAAACACATGCACTGAAAAAATTAGCAAGTACACAGAACTCGCCCAGGAAATAAGGACTCTGTGGAGGATTATTGTACCTGTCGTTCTCTCCTGTACAGGTGTGATACCACACACACTACACAAAAGCCTGGGAACATTGCATTGAATAGATTGAACAATTGAATAGAAATATATACATAACACTACAGAAGGCCACTATATTGAATACATGCCACATTGTTAGGAAATTCCTGAATACAGACACTGACACACTTATTTAATTTTAATTTTATTTTGGTTGCTATGCCTTGATTCTGGTCTGGCATAGTACACAGCCACTGGTGTGAACTGAGTATAACCCACTAAACACAACAATACAGTAGAGCGTCGTTTATCCGAATCAATTGGTGACNGAAAATTTAAATATTAAAAATCAACAAATAACCATCTAAAATTCCTTTACTTATTTTATTAGTTCAATATCAAACATCCATCACTTATTATTATTTTTTTTTTTTACACTAAGTTGCTGCCTGAAATTTTTTATGCCCATAAATTAATATTTATATACATATATATATTTTACTTTTGAGTATCTTGAACTTACATTTATTCAAATTTACATAGTGTAAAATATATATATGTATACATTATTAGTTTTAATAACACATCTAATCGATACTTTTCTGTCTGTTTTGGAAAAGAATTTTAATACTGAAATTTTTATAAAAATATTGACAATTATAATCAATATAATCCTACACAGTTTTTTAAAATGATGATATCTTCTATGAAACAGTGCAATGTTGACATTACTGAGCACAACTGAAATTAAAGATGCAGCAAATGTTAGAAGGAATTTGAAACCACTTGAATTAAGTCTACATGTGGTTATCATCCCAGTACAAAAATTTACAGGCTTATCTAATTTTTTAAGCTGAAATGTTGTAGTAACATACAAAATGAATACTTGTACCTGATAGAACTGCATGACTAGGACAATGATACATTTATCATCATCAAAATGATGCTTGATTGCAAAGAATTATGAAATATTTAAGAGTTCACTTTTACATAAATTATGCTCCTTCATAAATTTTTCTTCTAATGAAATTATTTGATATTGACACAAAAAATAAAATTTTAGGCATGATAGTCCAGTCAGATGTGAGCTTTTTCTTTTTCGTTCTTTTTTTTATCTGCTTGTGAATTACCTGTGATGGGCGATAAATCAGCAGCATACATGTAGTCTTGGTCGATGGGAAAATAGCACATTATTTCATAGAGGCAGTTATCTAAAAATACACATTAAAAAAATTAGTATATCTGTATCAAGTAAAAAACAATGAAAATAAATATAAATTTAAATATATTTTGACGTCAAATGAATACTGGATTAAATCAGACTATATTACCATTACTATTAATAGTACAGTAATGGTAATGTAGCCCTATTTAACCTAGCATTCATTTTGGTTTAATATAACTACCGAGCTAGAAATGTTTATATATTTTAATATATTTTGTATTAACTAAATGAGTGTATAAGTTATGATTTAAATCACGGGTTCCCAATCTATGGGTTGCAACAGGCTTTCTTTGGGGTCGCCAACTTATACAGTAAACTAAAAAAAATATTAAACTATAATGTAATTTTTATTTTTAATGGTGTCTTGAAGTTTGAATAATTTCATATATTTTTTTTAAATTAAAATAAGTGTAATCTAGGTACGCTATTCTGTCACAGTTGGTTGAAACATGTGTTGAGAGTTTGAGAGGAATAAATTAAATGTTGAGAATGACATGAGATTGGCGTTAACAAAAACTCACCCACGAATTTTGAAACTGGTTAATAACATGCAATTTCAACCATCGCATTAAATTA